GTAACGAAGGACACTACAGCCGAATTGAAAGCAAAGGTCAACAAACTGATCGAAACTGTGAACGCCAAGAAATCCGGACTCCACCTGCCAAAGATCATTGGGGAATATAAACCTGGATATGCGTATGGAAATGTCAAGACACACAAGCCTGGAAACCCACTTCGGCCAATCATTAGCCAGATACCCACACCCACGTACAGACTGGCGAAACGACTCAACGGCCTGCTGACTCCTTATGTTCCTTGCGCCTTCAGCCTGAAGTCTCCAAAGGAATTTGTTGACTTACCGCGGGGCACACGGGCCACAGGGATAAGAGCCTCGTTGGACGTAGAATCGCTGTTTACCAACGTACTTGTGGACGAGACAATCGGGATGATAGCCGACAGAGTGTATCGTGATCCAGCCTGTACTCCTCTTATAATAATAATAATAATAATAATTTTTATTTAGGTAAGGTACATACATAAAGAGATTTTACAAGGTTTGTTGGCTTTATAGATAGAGCTAGTACATACAATGCCTAAAGCCACTATTACGCAAAGCGTTTCGGGCAGGAAAAACATTAATGACTAAAGCTTAAAACTAATGGGTAAAAAGAATAAAATGTGTTGAGAACAAATAAAAATAGAGGTAAAAGAGGGGGGAACATTGTTGAAAAAGCAGCACAAATACAATTACAAATTATTACAGAAAATTACATTCAAACAGCGTTGATTTGAAAAAAAAAAAAAAAAACATACATGGGTTGACAACAGAGGGGTAAGGTAGGTTACAGGGAATTTATTAGGTATAGCTTCGTTTTTAACTTAAACTGGTTGAGAGAGGTACAGTATTTAACATGGTTGGGAAGGTCATTCCACATTCTGGGCCCCTTGATTTGTAGAGCATTTCTGGTTTGATTAAGTTGTACTCTAGGAATATCAAAACTGTATTTATTTCTGGTGTGGTGCTCATGGGTTCTGTTACAACCTTCTATGAAGCTTTTGAGATCAGGATTGGCATTATAGTTTAGCGTTTTATATATGTATAATACACATGAGAGAATGTGCAGTGACTTAATGTCTAACATATTCAGAGATTTAAGTAGGGGTACCGAGTGATGTCTGGGGCCAGAATTGGATATTGTCCTAATAGCAGCTTTGTGTTGAGTAATTAGAGGACATAAGTGATTTTAGGTAGTAGAGCCCCAAGCACAAATACCATAATTGAGATATGGATAGATAAGGGAGTAATAGAGAGTCACCAGGGCAGGGCGTGGTACATAATATCTGATCTTAGAAAGAATGCCCACAGTTTTTTAAACTTTTTTTGATATGTTTAGAATGTGTCCCTGGAAATTCAGCTTGTGGTCAATGAGAATGCCAAGGAATTTGCCATCTAATTTGTTACAAATTTGGGTATTGTTTATTTTGAGATTTATTTGATTAGAGGATTTATTGCCAAACAGAATATAGAAAGTTTTGTCAATGTTAAGGGTGAGTTTGTTGGCAGGTAGCCACAGATGGACTTTATTTAGCTCAGTATTTACTGTGGCATTTAGAGCAAGGGGATCAGGACTGGAGTAAATGAAGGTTGTGTCGTCAGCAAATAGAATTGGTTTGAGGTGTTGGGAGGCATTTGGAAGGTCATTAATGTAGATGAGAAAGAGGAGAGGGCCAAGTATGCTGCCCTGGGGAACACCAATGTTGATGGGTAGGGTGGGAGAATGACATATCTTGAATCTTGACATACCCGAGAATATTCTAAGGAAACTACTCCAAGCTTGTACTAAAGAGGCACCCTTTTTGAGCCCGGATGGGCACATGTATAAGCAAGTAGATGGGGTCGCCATGGGTTCTCCCCTAGGTGTCCTGTTTGCAAACTTCTACATGGGTACCATCGAGCAAAAAGTCTTAGTCGACATGAACTTGAAACCGGCCATATACTGCAGGTATGTTGACGACATTTTTACACAGGTACCTGATGTCAGACATCTGCAGGAGCTGAAGGAGGCATTTTGAGCAGAGTTCCGTGCTGCGTTTCACTTACGAGGTGGAAAAGGATGGGAAGCTGCCCTTTCTAGATGTAACAGTCATGGAAAAGAGCGGAGGTTTCCACACTGCAGTCTACACTAAGGAAACGAACATAGGAATGTGCCTAAATGCCAACAGCGACTGCCCAGACAGGTACAAGAGGAGTGTTGTTAACGCATATGTCAACCGTGCTCTAAGCCACAGCTCAGAATGGAAGCAAGTCGAAGAACTCTGTAGGGTAAGGCAGGTCCTAGTCAACAACGGCTTCTCCAATGGTTTCGCTGAAGACATCATAAGAAGGAAAGTGAAACGCCATGCAACCTCTGAAGAGACAACTAACACAACACCTATACCCACTATTAGACTATTTTACAGAAACTTCTTTTCCACAGCTCATAAAACAGAGGAAAGGGTCCTGAAAGATATTGTTAATAGAAACGTTATCCCTACAGACAAAAATCAGAGGATACAACTGACGATTTACTATAAAACCAGAAAAACGGCCAGCCTACTCATGAGAAACTCTCCAGACACAAAGCAGAACGCTTTAAAAGAGACCAACGTCGTCTATGCCTTCAAATGCCCACTTGGGGACTGTAAGCTCCAAAAAACCCAGTATATAGGCAAGACAACAACATCTCTTTCTAGGCGTTTAACAATGCATAAACAACAGGGCTCCATTAAGGAACATATAATCTCTTCCCACAACCAAACCATCGCCAGAGAAATCCTAGTAAACAACACAGAAATCATCGATAGATACAGCGATAGCAGGCGGCTTGACGTTTGCGAGGCACTACACATTAAGAAGTCAACACCAGCAATCAACAGCCAATTAATGCACAACTATATTCTACCCACCTCAAGACTCCGCTCCAATATAGAAGCATCAAGAAATATGGACCAATAGGCTTTCTACAATCACTTCCATTTCAATACCCATTGTTTCGTGTTCTGTCTTGTGTTGATGAAATTAATACCCTATTAATGCCACCTCTTGTTCTGTCTTGTGTTGATGAAATTAATACCCTATTAATGCCACCTCACCCCATCCACCTCACTCAAATGTAGATATAAACAAAATCGGAGATGTGTAAGTTCTATTCAGTTGTGTATTTGTAAACTAAAGTCTTTGAAAATGTAATAAGTTTTACGAAACGCGCTCGTGTCGCGTCAGACTAGAAATAAAAATGAATTTTGGAGAATTGATTTTTGAATTACCTCCAACAGTGAAAAGAAATGTACGAAAGATTGAGAAAATTCGTGTTAGAATTATTAATCTTACTTTTTCGGTCATATTTAATAATATATATAATATATATATATATATATATATATATATATATATATATATATATATATATATATATATATAATGCAAACAAGCCTGAATGGTCCCCAGGACTATATACAACTGAAAACTCACACCCCAGAAGTGACTCGAACCCATACTGCCAGGAGCAACGCAACTGGTATGTACAGGGACGCCTTAATCCGCTTGACCATCACGACCGGACATAAGGAAGTGATAGCCGAAGCTATTTGAACCACTTCCCCGCCGGCACTCGGATGGTAATCTTGGGCATAGCATTTTTATCAAATCACCTCATTCTTTGGGGCACACGTGAGGAACACAAATGCATCCGAGTGCCGGCGGGGAAGTGGTTCAAATAGCTTCGGCTATCACTTCCTTATGTCCGGTCGTGATGGTCAAGTGGATTAAGGCGTCCCTGTACATACTAGTTGCGTTGCTCCTGGCAGTATGGGTTCGAGTCACTTCTGGGGTGTGAGTTTTCAGTTGTATATAGTCCTGGGGACCATTCAGGCTTGTTTGCATTTGTGTTCCTCACGTGTGCCCCAAAGAATGAGGTGATTTGATAAAAATGCTATGCCCAAGATTACCATCCGAGTGCCGGCGGGGAAGTGGTTCAAATAGCTTCTGCTATCACTTCCTTATGTCCGGTCGTGATGGTCAAGCGGATTAAGGCATCCCTGTACATACCAGTTGCGTTGCTCCTGGCAGTATGGGTTCGAGTCACTTCTGGGGTGTGAGTTTTCAGTTATATATATATATATATATATATATATATATATATATATATATATATATATATATATATATATATATATATATATATGTACAGTACAACCTCGATTCAACGTACTATATGGGACCACCCCCAGTTCGTTGGAGCGTTGGATTCGTTGCAAGAGGTGACCTTTAAGAGGCGTTTGCGTCAGTGTCTTTTTTTTTCTTGTACACAATAAAAATGCATTGTATCATATTACTTACTGTACCTATATTTTACTACTCTACTAAAAATACTGTAATTCATGTATTTACCTTATTGTTGGAGTTATGTCTATCTTGAAGTGTTGTGAAGTTGTGAATGCTCTACAGTAAATAGGTACTGCAGTGCATTAAGCCGTTAGCACTGTATTATTAAAAGTGGTTTTGCTGTATGTTGAGTACTACAATACAGTTCTTGAAAACTATTGTACATTAGAATTATTGCAACTTTAATTTTAACACTATGTACACACTTAAATTTAACACTTATTCTAATTGTTCACTTCACACACGATGTTTTTAGATGTTTGCATCAGCTTTGCTGGTGCTCGCTGCTGCTGTGTTGGCTTCAGCTGCTTTTGTGCTGGTGCTGGGTACGGCTGTGCTGGTGCTGGGTACGGCTGTGCTGATTGATTTGCTGCTAGTTCGTGAAAAATATTGACTCATTTTCATTTGTTTCCTTCTTTGTGTCATGTCCTTGAGACAAATATCTTTCATCGTCCTTAGGTGTTGATAAAAGCCTGGTAGCTCTGGATTGTCAGTTTGTGAAACAATATCAAGGAGTTTTTCAACATGGAACAATGCGTTAGCACACGTAGCAGATTGTAAACTGCTATCATTCTCATCCTCATCTTCCTTTCCGTCGTCGTCAACAGTGCCAGTAACATTTTGTATAATCTCATCATCTGTTAAATGACCAATGGGTTGATCGACTGCATCAATATCTAACCACTCCTCCACATCGTTCAGCGTCAACTCCGTCTCACCAGCGGCACGCAGTTCTTGATAAATATCATTTGAAAATCCTTCAAAATCCATTTCTTCCTCAGTCACTTCATCAGCATGATCAAGCAACAGGAGTTTTTTCCAACAATTTCTTAATGTTGACTCTTGAACTTCATCCCAAACTTTAGCCCAGTTGTAAATACCTTCCTTAATTGAGTATTTTTGGTAACGTTCCAGTGTTGCTTGACCTCGCGAATCGGTTCCTTGTCTTTTGTCTTCATCTGACTCAAACACCACCATGATTTCTTTATTCATTTCTCGTTTGTAGAGCCTTTTCATTGCATATATAACACCCATATCCATTGGCTGGATCAGAGAGGTGGTATTGGGAGGCAAGGCCATACATTTGATGCGTCCATCATGTGACGTTAATTTGTCGAGCCCTACATGAGCTGGGGCATTGTCAACCAAGAGTAATGCCTTGACATCATTCCGTCTCACTCCACACTTCTTTATCTGAAAATCTCTAACTTCTTTGCAAAAATGATTTTTGAACCAGTCTACAAAAATATCTCCAGTAAACCAAGCTGTTTTAGAGCTGTAGTAGACCACAGGTAGCTTGTTCATTAAATTTTTCAAAGCACGTGGGTTTTTTGACTTCCCCACAATGGCGGACTTTGTTCTGTGACTTCCGTCTGCATTTGCACACAGCATGGCAGAAACTTTTTCTTTGTTTACCTTACGGCCAGGAACACTCTCATCTAGCCTAGATGCCAAAGTGTTGTTCTGCAAGCATTTCCAATTAAAGCCTGTTTCATCGGCATTGTATACCTGAAAACGCCTTAGATCATTTGTTATTATGTAATCATTTAATTTACGCTTAAATGGCTCGACTGAATCCGTATCTGCACTTAATGATTCTCCACAAACTTTCCTGTTCTTAATATTATGTCTATTCTTAAATCTTTGCAACCATCCTTCACTTGCTCGAAAATCTGGAATGTTCATCTTTTGTGCAAATTTATCGGCTGCTGTCTTAATGGCGTCGCCGCCAAGTGGCATCCCCACAGAGCGCTCCTGGTTAAACCATTTATACACAGCTTCATCCAAATTCGTATTTGCAGAACCTTTTATTGTTTTCCTTTTATTTAATGCACCACTATCACTCGAAGCAAGAAACTTCCTAATATTATCTTTCTGTCTCTTGATATCACACACCGCACTTTTCCCGACATTAAATTCTGCTGCCAACCTAGTAACAGAGTAGCCACGTTCATGTTTCTCTATCATGTCTAATTTCTGCTCAATGGATAAAAAACTTCTCTTCCTCTTTGCAGATACAGCACGATTAGCAAGCCCTTGAGACATCTTGTTGTATATTAATAAAGCTGTAGTAAAAAAAATGGTAAATTCCACGATTCACTGGTGGACAAACACGTCACTTGCACGCAGACAAATGTAACGGCACTGGGTGCCTACTGTATAAACGCAGACTAGGTCTATACACCCTCCAGTAGGCTGGTGTTTAAGCCAGATCCAGTAACATAAATTTATCTCAAATATTGGATTTACATCATATTATATATTTTTAGGTTATATATTTAGATTAGTGACATTATTAGGATAATAAGAGATATAAAAAACTTATTTTAGAACTGATTTATTAATTTTAATATTTCGAAGCCGTAGTCACTGAACTGTGGCGACGAAATGAAACGAGAAACGCATGGTGCTGTGTGTATAGGGACTAGACCCGTCCACTCGCTCACGCTGGAGTTGTTCCAATAACAAATAATTTCTCAAATAGCAGATGTCTATCATATTACAGTATATTTTCGGTTTTATTTAGTTTAGTTTAATTAGGATAATAAAAAGCTATTAAAGCATTGGTTTTAGAAATGATTTATTAGTCTGAAACTTTCAAAGTCATGGGTCACTGAACTATAACGACACAGACAAAGGAAAACCAAGTGAGGTTTACAGAACAGTATTCCCTTATCTGTCCACCCTCACTCACCTTGTTTTATCACAGAAAATGTCTATAAGGAGATTTTACGACATGTAGCTAGCTAATCACGCTTCAGCCTTTAAATTAATTTACAAAGATACGTCTGCCACAAATCAGTGGGAGGTTGGGAGGGAGGAGAGGCAGGGAGGGAGGCAGGCACGGAGGGAGACAGGCACGGAGGGAGGCAGGCAGAGCTTGGGAGGGAGAGGCAGGGAGGGAGGCAGGCACGGAGGGAGACAGGCACGGAGGGAGGCAGGGAAGGAGAGGATGGAGATGGATTGATGGTAGGATGGAGGGAGGGATGGAAGGATGGATGATTTGAGGGTGTGTGTGTGTATGGGCTGTAGGGGTGGGGGGGGGAGGTGTGTCGGTGGTGGTGAAGGGACCGACTCGCTGATAACCCTAACTCTGACCCAGTTAACTTTTTTTTTTAACTTGATTTGTTTCTTCAATTCTGGATGGATGGAGGGAGAAAGGGGATGGAGGGAGGGGATGGATGGAGGGAGGGGATGGATGGATGGATGGAGGGAGGGGATGGATGGGATGGAGGGAGGGGATGGATGGATGGATGGAGGGGGGGATGGAGGGAGGGGATGGATGGAGGGAGGGGATGGATGGATGGATGGAGGGGGGATGGATGGAGGGAGGGGATGGATGGAGGGAGGGGATGGATGGATGGATGGAGGGAGGGATGGATGGATGGATGGAGGGAGGGAGGGGATGGATGGAGGGGAGGGGAGGGAGGGGATGGATGGATGGATGGAGGGAGGGGATGGATGGAGGGAGGGAGGGGAAGGATGGATGGATGGATGGATGGAGGGAGGGGATGGATGGATGGATGGATGGATGGATGGAGGGAGTGGATGGAGGGAGGGAGGGAGGGGATGGATGGATGGAGGGGATGGATGGAGGGAGGGAGTGGATGGAGGGAGGGGATGGATGGATGGATGGATGGAGGGGATGGATGGATGGATGGATGGAGGGGATGGATGGATGGATGGAGGGGGGGGATGGATGGATGGATGGAGGGGATGGATGGAGGGAGGGAGGGATGGAGGGGGATGGATGGATGGAGGGAGGGAGGGGATGGATGGATGGATGGATGGAGGGGGGATGGATGGAGGGAGGGGATGGATGGATGGATGGAGGGGGGGATGGATGGATGGAGGGAGGGGATGGATGGAGGGAGGGGATGGATGGATGGATGGAGGGAGGGGATGGATGGAGGAAGGGGATGGATGGATGGATGGAGAAAGGGGATGGATGGATGGATGGATGGATGGAGGGAGGGGATGGATGGATGGAGGGGTTGGATGGATAGATGGATGGAGGGAAGGGATGGATGGAGGGAGGGGATGGATGGAGGGAGGGGATGGATGGAGGGATGGAGGGAGGGGATGGATGGAGGGAGGGGGGAGAGGATGGATGGATGGATGGATGGGGGGAGAGAGAGAGAGAGAGGGGAGAGGGGGGGGGGGAGGGAGGGATATGAAACAAGCATGGTGTGTGTACAGGGATTAGACCCGTCCACTCACGCTGGAGTTGTTCCAATAACATACAGTAATTTCTCAAAGAGCAGATGTCTATCATGTTACAGCATATTTTCGGTTTTATTTAGTTTAGTTTAATTAGGATAATAAAAAGCTATTAAAACACTGGTTTTAGAAATTATTTATTAATATGAAACTTTCAAAAGTCATGGGTCACTGAACTATGATGACACACAGACGAAAGTGAGTGAAACCTCACTGTAAAGTGAGGTTTACAGTATAGTATTCTCTTATCTGTCCACCCTCACTCATCTTGTTTCATCGCAGAAAATGTCTATAAGGAGATTTTACCACATGTAGCTAGGTAATCACGCTTCATCCTTTAAATTAATGTACAAAGATACGTGTGCCCCAAATCAGTGAACGAAAATCATGGAAACTCAGTTGTTCACTTGTGTGGATCACTGGCTGGTGTTTGTGTGGACCATTTTGGCTGGTGTTTGGTTCATATGGTTCACTTGTGTGATTCAACTTCTTATGAAGGAATTATTAATTGTAATCTGTGATAGAATGAGAAAGTTTTCCACCACTCTGTGAACTCTGTCCCAAAATCGTAAGCTTGTGGACCACTTGTGGTCCACATGTGTGGTCCATTTGTGTGGTCTACTTGTGTGATCCACTTGTGTGATCCAACTTGTCATATGAGAGAAATATTATTTGTAATCTGTTATAGAATGGGAAAGTTTTCCACCAGTCTGTGAACTCTGTCTGGACATCGTAACCAAATCCGAACATCCCTCGCTTCGGCGAACCATTGTTCGTCGAACCGGGTGAGTAAATTCGGCCTGAAAAATGTGCGAACTAGCCGGAGATTCGTTGAATCGGGGTACGTTGAATCGAGGTTGTACTGTATATATATATATATATATATATATATATATATATATATATATATATATATATATATATATATAAGCCAAGTTTTCGTACCTAGTAGCCAGAACGCACTTCTCAGCCTACTATTCAAGGCCCGATTTGCCTAATAAGCCTAGTTTTCATGAATTAATTGTTTTTCGACTACCTAACCTAACCTAATTTTTTAGGCTACCTAACCTAACCTATAAAGATAGGTTAGGTTAGGTTAGGTAGGGTTGGTTAGGTTCGGTCATATATCTACGTTAATTTTAATTCGAATAAAAAAAAAGTGACCTCATACATAATGAAATGGGTTGCTTTATCATTTCATAAGAAAAAAATTAGAGAAAATATATTTATTCAGGAAAACTTGGCTTATTAGGCAAATCGGGCCTTGCATAGTAGGCTGAGAAGTGCATTCTGGCTACTAGGTACGACATTATATATATATATATATATATATATATATATATATATATATATATATATATATATATATATATATATATTATACTTTTTAATTATCACAATTATTATTAACTATTATATACTAATCCCTAAGCAATGAGAAATAATCATTTGGGTATGTAAAAATGTTTGTATATATAAACTGTGTGGAGGCAAGCTGAATAGTGCCATTTAACTGCACTTGGTGTTCTAGGATATTCTCTATCCCATATATAAAAAAGGGTATTGTTCCATTCACACACCTTGTTGAATGTCAAAGAATTCTAAGATATAACTGTCTTTCATGAATTGGATCTCTCTTAATTTATTGACGCATGTGTCTTTCTGTTTTTGTTTTAGCATTTTAAGTAATACAGTGCAACCTCAATTCAGCGAACCATTTGGGACCAATCCCAGTTTGTTGCAGTGATGGATTCGTTGCAACAGGTGATAACTCCAGGAGGCGTTTGCATCAGTGTCTTTTTTTTCTTGTACACAATAAAAATGCATTATTGTATTATATACTATACCTATACAGGGGTACCTCAGTTTTCGTAGTTAATCCGTTTCCATTGATGGTATGAATACCAAAAAATACGAATATTGAGATGAATTTTTCCCTGAGAAATAATATATATTGAATTAATCCGTTCCACACCCCACAAAATATTACAAAAAAAATAAAAGTTATGCAGAAAACTACTCATAGTACCTTACCTTTACGGAAGAACTCTTGTTAACATATGGAAGACGATGAGAACAGTGGGAGGAGGAGAGGTGTTAGTGTTTGGAAGGGGAGTCTCCCTTCCATTATAACATCAGGCAGTGATGACATTTCTGGCGTATTCTCTCTCTCTCTTACGTTTTGCAGGCATACCACTAGGACCTGGTTGTGGCTCACTGCTCTCTTGTCTTGCTAAGAATCTGTCTATAGACACTTGTTTTTCCCCTATGTTTAACACTTGTCTGTAGTCAGACATCACATTGTTTCTCTATGAATGATCTCTTGTTTTTCCTCTATCGTCATCCTCACAACTATTTTCTTAGGCTGAACATTACCACTGACTTTCTTGGAACCCATGACATGATATATAATAAGTACTTTTATATTCAGAAATCTAACAAAGCACAAAAACAATTAAATTCTTCACAAAGAATTCAAGCGCGATCATCACTAGGCGGGAGCCACTGGTAAATTGAAGCGCCATGCACGTGGTGGACTCGTACGTGTATGAACAAACTCCGAGCACCGAGGCAAACAACGAGTATAGAATCAAATTTTTCGGAGAAATTGAGTACAAGTACCAAAAAATATGAGCACAGGGGCATACGAGTACCAAGGTTCCACTGTATATTACTGCTCTACTAACAAATATTGTATCATAACTGTATTTACCTTATTTTTGGAGTTATGTCCATCTTGAATTCTCATAGCATTGTGAATACTGTACAGTAAATACGTACTGTACTGTACTGTATTATGCCATTAGCACTGTATTGATTACGTA